TTAACACAAGTTAAAATTACAATTCTTTCAAATCTGAGTAGTAGGCAGAAATAATCTTAAATTTACCAGATTAGATACCTTTGCACTTCTGAAGCATCCTCTTTTAAGAGAAGTTCACGCTATGTCCTTTAAACACAGGAGCAAAGTACAGTCTTTAGATCACAATTCTTCATATAAGCTTACCAAGAAATTATCGATAAGCAGGTAGGATTCAAGTGTTCAAAACTCATACTTAATAGAAAATTATTTTTTAAAGGGAAAAAGCAACTGCTGAAATAAAAACTGGCAAATTTTTAATTTCCCCAAAATGAGATTTTCAATTTTACTAAAAAAGGTGGTACCAAATATCTCAAAAGAGGCTTTGTCCCCAAAGGATAAAAAAATATAGAAATCATGTTAGAAATATAACATTTTGCTAATAGAAAAGCAATTGCACATTTCTCATGAATCTTTGTGATTTTTCATCTTTAGCAAAGTTCCAGTTATTTAAAAAATGGTCAGACTCTTATTGGTTTAAGTCAATCTTCTAATGAACTCAACCACAGAACCAATGTCCATTTTGAGCTATATAAAAATAAACATGTACCTTAAACACAACACTCCAGAAAAAAAAATCAGAACACAAAGAGAAAATGGACTTGGATTTTTAATTTTTTAAAGATTAACTATCTCTCCCTCTATATATATATTAATAAAAAGTGCAAAGAATAGACCTTCATGTTTAAATTATATTCTAAAAAAAATATATATTTCCATTAATGCAGGAGACAACTGGCAAGTAAAGAGCCTGAGAGAGTCCAGTCCCTCTCCATCACTATAATGGACATACATTTCAAGGAAGCACCTATGAAAAACAGCAGGGTTCACAACACATCCGGTAACACAGATAGCTTCTGGATGTTCTTGGAAGCAGTTTGCTCATATTTTCAACCTAACATGAAATGAGGAAATAATCAAACTTGTAAACAGAAATGACACTGCTTAGAATAGCCTAGAATTCTGAATTCAGGTTTTACATGGCCTGGAGCCCAGCATTTCCCATACAGCAAGTCACGCTCACACGTGCATTAGTAAAAGCTACGAGCAGTATGTCTCGAGAGCTGATCAGTTCTCTTGTACAATGAATGTCCTCTGCTCCTAACACTGCTGGTTTAGCCACATAGCTGAAAATGTTGACTTTTTAAAAACAGTAAAACAAAAAGTAAACATGTTTTAAGAAAGCGCATCCTAGTATTCACTCCTGTCACACAGAACTGAGCTTGTATTTTGGGCTTAGTTTTCACCAAAAGGTCTTAAAAAACAAGGGGCTTACAGTTCCTGCTTTCTTATTATGTATCTATGGCAATGGTGGCAACAAGTTTCAGAAACAACAAAAACTTTTAACAATAAAGACATACAACTCTGGACTTTTTAAAGAAAGAAATCTGGGATAGTTCAACAATTCAAATTAAAAAACTGATTTCTGTGGCTTCAGCAGCTATGGATCCACGCGTAGAAATAATTCCTTGGTTTTTGATGCAGCTTTCTTTTATTATTCTTTTTTTCCTAACTGAGAAGAATTTCTGCTTTAGAAAAGGTATGTTCAATGCAATATGCCTGAAGCATCATATCTATAATACTGGCTACAGGTGCATTTTGCCTCATAAATGTCAGTAATGTGCTCCTACTGGATCTGGATGAAGTCAATGTTAAAATACAGATAAACTACAGCAAATCCATTATGCATAACTTGGAGACTCAAAGGTGCATGGTTTCTTCCCTCTTTTCAGGCCTGTTATAAAAATAATTTTGGTTACAAGTGTCTACACAGCACCAATTTTATTTCAAAAGCAGCAGCTTTACTCAGCCACCCAAATGAACCTGTAAGTACACATGCTCAAATAGCTTTTCTCCTTTACTTCTGTAATTCTGAAAGACCAGCAATTGTATTAGACTTTTTATTAATCAAAAATTATTCAGCAATTTTAAAACCATCAATTACAATGCCCTAAAAATACCCACAGTGGCTGAATTAAATGGGAAGTTCCCTCTACATGCAACTGTATAGTAAAAGAATTATGCCTGCTGCTGATAAACACTGGGTTCTGTAACAACAGAAGAAACAGGTCTCTAATAGTAAAAAAGCATTTCATAAAACTTTGTCATATATAAAATATCTTATTGTGACCATTCCACTTATGATTAAAGCATAAGTGTTCACTCTGCCTTCTGCTGTGTGACAATCAGTGGTCGTACAACTTCAAAAAATAAGAGTGCATCTGTTTCCCAGGCTGACAAAACCAGTGGGTTCAATTACATTGTTTCTCTCTCAAAGTCATCTGTACTCATTCGCACATATACAAAGCACCCAGTTTTAATCTTCATGACACTTGCCACACTTTTTTCCTATTTCCAAAAATCGGTCAGGAAAATGTGAATGCAAAATAACTGTTCTTATCTATACTCAGCCTGGATCTCCATTGCTCATTTTTGTGATTTTGAAAGATAAAAGTCTGCAGCAGAAGGAGAATAGGCTCCATTCATCTTTCTCAAACCCTTTGGTTTCCATCTTTAATGTTACAGTGAACGTAGATTTGCCTCAGAAGGACTGAGTCAAAGGCTTTATAGATACTGAACCTGAAGTGCATTAAGAGAATAAACACCTGCCACATGGCATAGGAAAATTGAAAAAGTAGAAATAATAAACACAACTCCCCAATACATGAAGAATTGACAATCATCATCTAAAAACTCCCTAAGAAATTAAATTCATAGGAGGGGTGGAATCATTAACAAAGGTCGGAAGATCAAATCCAACTAGATAATAATTGTATTATCTGAAAAATACTTTACTCACCTACCTTTTACCTATCTCCCTAGTTAAGTATTTCTCAAGTCTCCCACCTATAAACATGGTGGACTCAAGAAAGATATACACTAAAGGATGGGATTACATCTGATTTAAAAAGGAACAAAGAACAAACAAAAAGAGGGCAAGTAAAGGACTGGCTTTCAAAGGAAAAGTGCTTTAAATATGCTTCTGCAAATAATATGACTTGGGTGCAATTTGGAAGTTTTGACATTTATAGATTAAGCAGAATTATTCTTCTATGGAGGCAATTAAATTGAAATGTAAAACAAGAACTGTTCAATTATTACATCACAAAACCCCACAAAATGGGAAGCAAAACTCCCATTGATTAAAATTTCCCACCTCTAATGCAAAGTGCAAAAACAAGGGCTTCAAGTGAGTGACAGGCAAATCATGAAGCCCATTCACCTACATCCCCTACTCCATTCCTCAACACACACAGCACAGATCATCGATTAGCTGATTCTCTGCTCTCCTGCCATGCATATCCAGTACTCTACTGGCTTCTTCATAAAATCGGGTCTCTATTCTCAACAGGTTAAATTAATGAAAAAGAAAGAGGAAATACATTCAATAAGCAAAAATAAAATAACTCTGTAATCTGACATATTCCATTTTATGGAAGTAATGACTTATATACTCTATAAGGGACATTAAAAGTGAGAGAGTAGCATATAAAGAGATCAGATTGCTCCACCAATACGTCCAGAATAATAGTAAGTTTTCCTGGAGTTTTAACTTCCATCTATTCTTTAAGACCCTAGCAGAGTTATAGGATTTTACTGAATACCTGAGATCAGAATCAGGTTGCAAAATGCTTAAAACACTCAAAATTATTTCAAAAGGGAGAAACGAAGAAGTTGAGAGGTAAGTTAATTATGATCGCGATAAAATTATTAGCTATGTACTGACACAAGTCAAAGAGAAAAACTGAAAACAACTGAGGAAAGGAGGGAGAGGAAGGCAGACAGGAAAAACTGAGAGAAGTGCTAGTCCTTCCTGTGAAGATGCCTTGTCTCCTGATGTAAATACTGTAAGACACCCTCAGAGGGGCTATGCTTTTCATGCACTCTTCACAAGCAAAACCAAGTGGTAGACAAAGCCCAGGGAACACAGTAAGAAGTTGGTGATTTCTTTGTCATCTTTATGCGAGAGGGCACATGGACTGTAGATGTGGCCAATTCTGCTGGCTGAGCTGAAGAAATATGTAATAGAAAATACCAAAAACAGCCCCCTACCCATTCTAGGGAAAAAATATACAAAATCCCTCCCAAAGGTAAACAAAACAAAACAAAACAAAACAAAAAAACAGCCTTCCCCCTCCTAAAGAAAACCACACTGGAAACAAATGCCCTGCAAGAGTTCCTATATGTGTTTTTACAAGGCTGGTAGAGGTTATTTTGTTTTTGATTCCACATAAATTTTATCTCCATCCCTAATGCCAAAGGAATGCAATGCCCGAGAACTGTACTTCATTTCTTCTGGGCCAAAAGGTGCTTCCTGGTCAAAATAGTAGAGACGCATGTTGCTTGTGGATAGCTGCACCAGTGTCTTCAACTGTTTCTTTAGTTCTGCAACTGTTTGGTCCAGACGAATGCTCATTTCTTCCACTTGATCATTAAAGTGGACTTCTACTTTTACACTGCTCTGGGGTCTTAGGTCCACTTCTGCCAAAGGCTCCAATCTCCCATATTTTGTGATCAGTTCGTGATACCTAGAAGGATAAAAACAACAGTGTAAGTTTAAACTATTAGCTCATGATCCATGGACCTCTTCTGAACTACAGATAAACTGTACTGTTACTCTCAGCTTTCTAATATCTTTTACTAATATTATACCTCTATTTCTGCATCCCTCTGTCTGTACATATATATACCTAGCTATTAGATAACTACTGTGGTTTCTTTGACCTGATACAGTTGCCCTGTTGAGGCCTCACTAAAACCACATCCTTGAGGACAGAGGAAGTGTTTCTCCTGAAGACAGTCAACACCCATGTTACATTAAGAATAAGCTTAGAAAGAAATAACCTCGAAAAGCAAATGCTACCAAGATAAGAGAATAAGTTCAATCTCTCCACGGAACTAGCTTTCCTGGGTGTCACTGGGAAGGCAGGTATCTAAGCACATGTTCTTTAGTAATAAAGATGGACGGAGAGCAGTGGTGTCTGAGGCCTGAGAAACCATAACTTGTAGATGAAAACATGTATGTTAACTATTAACAATTCTTTCAGTGAATCCTGGTCTGAATGTTCCAGTCCAGTCTCAGGTTTTAATATAAGGAATTTATGGATGAGTCAAGAATACATTCTTAGGGGGAAAAAAAAAACTGAAAAAAGAGAATGCATGTTCTTTCACTAAAGCAGGGAATAAAACAAAGCACACCAACAGGCAAGTGAATTATAGACATGACAACAGGGCCCACAAGGTCATTTCCCATGTGGAAAATCTTGTATCCACTTCAAGCCTAGGAGGACATAGGTCTGATTTTATTGAATTTTGTGCAGTTTCCTACATACCAGAGAGGGAAAAATAATGAAAAGATTTAATATCAGTTTTATTATAACTAAGAAACACTGAGGTTAATTAAGGATCAGAATATCACAGTCACATAAGACTTATTATTCTCAAAACTCTCCCACTCCACTTTTGGCTTTTACTTAGTACAATCAGTGTCATAACAAGGTTTGTAAGAACGTTAATGACATGGTAAGACATCTGTGCTTAGAGATGGAGGTAATTAATTCCTTTAAATGGAGAAACAGGTTATGGTAAAAATAGCACTGGCTCTGACTTCAGAGTCTTGACTCCATCGTATAATTAGCTATGTGACTTGGCAACTCACTCAATCCTTTTGAATCTATTTCCTCATTAGTAAAATTAGGGTAAGTCTTGCCCTTCCTACTTTATAAGATAGTCTTAAATGTTAAACAAAACAAGATTAGCAAACATAAATTTACTAATATAAATTATAAGTTCATATACAAATAAATTATTAACCTATATCTCTACTGCTCTGGAGCTTACAATATTTTAAGTAAACATACCCCTTAGAAAATATAATATTGAAATCTACTTAGGTGGGACTTTGGAGGAAAGGTATTGATTGGTATGATCAAATGGAGTACAAAATCTGCTCCCAGAACTTAAATCAAAAACAGTATTTTTAAAAGGGAGTAAGAAATCACCAGCAGTAACAAAAGAAATAACCTTAATGTCACAACCTTTTAAAAGGAACTGAAAGCTCTATACTATTTGATACAGTTAATCAAAGATCTGCACCCCATTGCCACAAACCACAATGGAGAACGAAAGCAAAGAGACAAAATTTTGAGCACACTGACTACAGCTTCCTTATTTAAAGAAAAGTGGACCAAGAAGCTAAAGAGTCACCCAGATTATGGAAAAACCAGGTTGCAGAAAGACCTTGAGGAAGAGAAGCTTCTATATCCCACTTCTATATCCCACTGTCACGTGTCAAAATTTTAGCAAAGGTAAACAAATCAAAACAAAGCAAGACAAAAAGCCCAAACAGTTAAAAATGAAACTACCATGACTTGAAATGATCTAAGGCTCCAAACTAAAAAGATGAAATGATTCACAGTTTAAAAATATTTTTTCCCACCCCATCTCCTAGCATATGCTTTCAAATAAGTGAAAGTAGATAAAGACGGTTTTTTAAAAATCTCATAAAAGACAACAGACTCCACATGGTCAAATATCAGTTGAATGCTAACTCCAGAGATGTTCTCCCTTTAAACTATAGAAAAGCAGACAGACCAATAGTACTCCAGAAGAGTACTATTGTGGGAGGGACAAAATAAGAATGGGAAAGGCTCAAGGAGCATTAACTCATATTATGTTTTAGCAAAGGGACAGTCTGGGTAGAAGTGCCCACTTCTTAAAAAATTTCATAAAAATAAAATATAATGAAATACAGTAAAAACAGTTAACACACTGTGTATCACAATCTTAAAAGTAGTTACAGTACAATACACAGACAAAAAAAGACTCCCTCTTACAAAGAAGAGGTAATAGCACAAAACTTTTTCAATGAGGAAAGACAAACTAGTATAAATAAATCAAATTACCATGTATACTAAAATTTTTTTTAAACAATTGAATGGGTAATTTGGTGCAATTATTTGAACTTCCCCCCACTTCCATATTTATGTACCTTCCATTTTGCTTTTTATCTGTAGATATATTTTTTGAGTTTCTTATACAAGAAATCACGATATTTAAGCTAGTGTATTTGACTAATTTCACTTAACATTATGTTGTCAAGTTGCATCCATTTACCTATGAATGCCTCAAGTTTTATGGCACAGTAGTACCCCCATTATGTACAAATACTATATTTTCCTTACACATTCACAAGTATATCCAACATATATGCTGTTTCCAAGATCTACTAAATTGTGCTATTAAAAATTGTGCCGTTATAAACATGGGTGTGCATGTATCCTTGTAATATAATGATTTTAATTCTTTGGGGATTATACTTAAAAGGGGGATAACTGTATCAATGGAATTTCTATTTTTAGCTTTGTGAGGAATCTCCACATTGATTTCCAAGTGGCTGTACTAGTTTACATTCCCAACAACAATGCAGAAGAGTTCCTCTGTCTGCACATCCTTCTCAGCATTTGTTATTATTAAATTCTTTTATGATAATCATTCTTTCTAGGGCTAATGGTATCCCAACGTAGTTTTAATTTGCATTTCTCTGATGGCCAGTGATGCTGAACATTTTTTCATGTATTTAAGGGCCAATTGTAGAGAAGTGCCCACGATTAGGCATAAATAAGAAAGTAAGACACAAAGTAACAGCTAAGCACATAGCACAGCAAAAAGAAGATAGAGGAACACATAAATAAGTTGAAAGCAGAGGCAGAACTCAATCTAAAAGAACAGACAGATGAGAGGAGAAAAAATCCATACATTCTTAAATTGTAGAAATTATTAACTGCATGAATACAGAAAAGCAAGAGCACAAAGACAAATGATAAGCTGTAGCATCAAATGAAAAGTGAGAGTGCAGAGCTAATGAAACACACTGAAGAGCAAAACAGCATCATTAATGACAAAATAAATAAATTAGAAAGGATAACCCAAGAATATATTTAGTTTAACTTTGTTCAGGAATAAATTTAACAAACAGATATTCTGAAACAAAAAAGAATTTAAGGAACAGAATGTCCATGAGTCCGGTTAGGGGAAAACAAAAACAAAATTATTTAATAATGATATTAAAGGCCTAGTAAAAGGGCTTGAATCTAAATATCAAACTAAACTTTATAACAACAGTAATTCTTAGACTCACTTATACTTGACACTATAGCCAACTGTATCAATCTCAATCACTGGCATGTTTGTACATAAAATTATGACCCACACACAGAAAGTTGCACAGTTGCTATAATGAACAGGTAAATCTACAAATTAAATGACCTATAAATTGGAACACTGTGACATTCTAGAGTTTTCTCAAAATTGATATGCTCAGAAACAATTCATGCCACTTCCAGTGATTTCTCCCAATCTTTTAGTAAATATTACTAAACTCTACCTAATTATACTACTCAGAAACTAGATGGTCATTCCAATTCTTCTTTCTCTATCTAAATAATTCTCCATCTAAATAATCTATCCACATCTCTCTTGTCTAGTTGTCTTATAAATGTAAGTCATTATTATTATAATAAGGATTGCTATTGTTTTCTATGGATGCGTAAGCTAGATGAATTTTCTTAGTATCTGTTCCAACCTCTCCCAGTAGGGCTTCCTATGCTGGAAATACTGGAAAGCCCTGAAAGCTATTGTTCTACACTACATTGCAGATAAAATTTAGTGTGTACAAATCCCATTCAGCTCTAGGTTCTGAAAGAGGTAGTGAGCTTAGCAGACATGGTATGGAACAGTTTGAGGGCAGGCTTCCTAACTGCCAGAGTTAAGTGCAAGCAGTCTTCTTCTTGGAGTCAAAAGCCCCAGCAGCAGCCATTGACCTCCAGAAGACAATTAAGGTGATGTGGTCAGTACCAAGGACAGCACCCTATGTTCTTTCCTTTGCCTGATTCTGGTAGAGGTAGCAGTATCTTGGCGGGCCAGTTATGTATGTGGTATTACCTATTCTTGAGGCAATTCTAGGGAGGCAGCCTAAATAAGCTCCTCTAGGTCTTCCAAAGATTTTGTAAGAACTTTATTTACTGTGTGAAATCTCATTCTCCCTAAAATAGCTAATGACTTCAGGGTAGCCTCAAGACAATCCTTTTCTATTCTATTGCCAAAGTAATTATTATAAAACATATTATTATTATCAACTCACTCCTCTTCTTAAAATACATAATAATCATAAAAATAAAAGCTAACTTTTTTTATATGATTGTGGTAGGCAGAATTTCAGCCCCCATGTCTGGGTGTGCTGAATCTGAAATCAGAGATGTCTCTCTAGCTAGAAGCAAAAGGGAAAACCAGAGATTTTTTCCCCCTGGTAGAATGAGAAGGATCTGACACATCATTACTGGCTTGAAAACGGAGGAGGCCCCATGGAAAATATAAGAAGGAACACAGCTCTGTTGTCACCTTGAATTAGCCTTCAGGTGATTCTTCCCCAGAGTTGCCAGTAAGGAAAACGGCCTCACTGACACCTTGACCTCAGCCTTGTGAGAACCTAATCAGAGAACCCAGCTAAGCCACAACATGCCCAGACTCA